CCATCTTGAGGATCACACCCTTCCGAATCACACCCTACCCTATCAGGGAGGATGCCTTTGTTCTCACCCTTGAACAGAGGCACGCCTCCATCCTACAACACACCATCAACCATGCTACATTCCAACTTCTACAACAACACCCCAACACCAACAGGATCTCCCCTCCTGCCCCTGGCACCAGCCCACTCCCAGTGCCCCCTTATCCTCCTTCTATTGACTCAACAACCCCTCGAACAGTCCACAACACTCCAGCAGCCACTGTGCCTCCCTCCTGGGAACCACAGACTGCCAGTGTGTCATTTGACCCCATCTTCTGCCTGCTTGTTGGCCTCTATCTAACAATTTTTGTGCATTGGATGGGTTACACCCTGCTCTGGTCCAGCCTGAGGAGTACCACCTCCTACGGGCTCTGCTGGCATCTTACCTTGCATGCCAAGGCACTTGCCACAGCTTGGGACCTGATCACCCAGACACACTTACTGGCGAGCACTCTTTGGTCTGGCAATCTATCTGGTCCTCACAGCCCCTTTGGTGACAATGGTTTCAATACCGACAAAATCCTGTGTAAGCCCCTGTAACCCAGGTTTTGCGCTGCAGGTTCCCTATCAATGTGCTCACCCCCCTACCCAGGGCATCTGTCTACTTGGTGCTGGCTCCACGTTGGGCCAGTGGATGAGGTTATGTTGATTGGGCAAACAAGTAGATGACGACTCAGCTAGGTGGGGATCTCCCCCACCACTTGCCCGCGTCAATAAAGTCACTCCATGGCCAATAGCTTGTTAAGCTAAATGAGTAATTTAACCCCCTACCTCGCATTGGATCCTTATGTGACGAATACACGCACAACCGAATATTGTCAATCCAGCCATTGTAGCTCGCTACCGTAGAGTTACATCAATCGGTAACAGTGGCAACAGTACATCTAAGAAGCGCATCTGAAGGTAGGATATGAATCTATAAGGTACCTTATCAATTAAAGCTGAAGGTCGACCCTACGATACAGATCCATAACCACCCATACAGATCCATGAGGAAAGCTTGTCGATTGACATCCAAGGGTGAAACAAACCTGGTCCTAGCTCTGCTATTGATCTATAAGGTGTCTATATCTAATGAAAGGAATGGTCTATTTGGTTGGTAATCGGCGTTCTATTATCTTACTAGTCTAGTTACTCTTATCGTACGAAACTACGAAGTCGTCGTCGACTTGGCCAAATCCTCGAAACTGACTTGTGCATACAGGAATATGGGTGCCGACACAGGAATCATCACCGAAACACTAGTAAATATCACTGAAGAGATGAATCCAGTAGTAGGATCCACTCGCGTGTACGTGTGTTGTCGCCTCCTCCGGTTGACAGTTGCCTTTCAATGACTCGACGACGATCCTCCGTTCATGCTGTTGGTAGGGCTGGAGTTAACAGAGCGTCCTCCATAGTAGCAATCGATCGGTAGCAGCATCTTCCTCTCTTGTTATCTGTCGCGATCGACCGTCCACAATGGTAATTCATCGGCCATCAGCAGTGCAGCAGAGAAAACAACAAATAGATATGTGTTTTGCTTTCTGTGCTCAACTGAAGAAAACTGGTGACGTACCCTTGTTCTCCAACTTGGCCGTCATGGGCCGAGAATTGACTGTCATCCCATGGTCCATAGAATTTAATGAGGGATGGCTTTCGCTTCTGCACCGGAGAAGGCCGGGTTGAGTGAGGCTTGGATTACAGAGATAATAGAGGTGCGACCGATTCGAAAAATTAAATGCAAACTCACCTGTTGACGGCCAAGCTTGGAATTCTCTCCTGAATACCATAGAAATTGAATGAGGGATGGCTTTCGAATCTGCACCTTCAATAACACTCTTTATAATAGAGGCTTACCTTGTACCGTACCAGTCGTTCGATCAATCTAACACCACTCTTGTGGGCCAAGCTTGGATTTCTCTCCTGTTTGCCATAGAAATTCAATGAAGGAGAGAAGTCAGTTCTGCACCTTCAATGATGGACTTGAACAGTACAAGTACCGTACCAGTACAGGTGCAGGCAATCAGCTTATCCTTAACCTTAGTAACTTCAGCGGTTCTTTTATCCATGAATCAATCTAAATCTTTCGAAAGGAAACTTGTTACTTAACAATACACATGACCGTTGATTCTGCAACTGACTTGCCGCTACTCTAATTTACACAGTAAACGCTGGCAAATCAATTCCAGAGTGCACTGAAGGGGAAACCAATAGGAGCGCCATCTCAGGAGACGGAATTTGACTTTTTTTCAGCATTCCTCTCCTGTTTCCTCAGTTTGCTCGCTACTTGGATCAATATGACGAATACATGCAATCCAGCCATTGTAGCCAGCTACGGTACCGTAGGCAGAGAGTTATATCGATCCGTGACAGTGGCAACAGTACCGAACACACTCATGTTCCGCTTTAATGGCTACACTCCTTTACCAGTACCTTGCATGGGATCATTATGACGAATACATGCACAACCGAACATTGTCAATCCAGCCATCGTAGCTAGCTACCGTAGAGTTCATCGATCGGTGACAGTGGCAACAATACCGAACACACTCAGGTTTGCTTGCTCGCTGCACTCGGTTGTTACCTCGCATTGGAGCCTTATGATGAATAGATGCACAAAACCGAATATGTTAATCCAGCCATTGTAGCCGGCTACGTACAGTTACATCGGCGAATGTCAACAGTACGAACACACTCAGTCGCTTTGCTGGCTACACTCCGTTGCGGGTACTTGCATTGGATCCTTATGACTAAAATACTGCACAACCGAACATTATGATCCAGCCATTGTAGCTGGCTGTGGTATAGCTACATCACGACAGTGGCAGTACCGAAAGTTCGGCTTTGTCGCTACGGTTACCGGTACTCGCATTGGTCCTTATGCGAATACATGCACAAAACGAATATTGTCAATCAGCCATTGTAGCCAGTTACCGTAGAGTTACATCATCTGACAGGGCAACAGTACCAAACACACTCAGGTTCCGCTTTACTGGCTACACTCCGTTACGAACGATCGACTCTAATAATAAAACAACTCACCTGTTGACGGCCGAGATCTGACTGCCTCCCCGCGGTCCATAGAAATTCAATGAGGGATGGCTTTCGAATCTGCACTTCAATAACACTCTTGATTCTACCGTACCAGCGTTCGATGATCCAACACCACTCTTGTCGGCCAAGCTTGATTTCTCTCCTGTTTCCATAGAAATTCAATGAAGGCGAGATGTCAGTGCTGTGCCTTCAATGATGGACTTGAACCATTCATCACGTACCGTACTCAATCAGTTTATCCTTAACCTTAATAACTTCAACGGTTCTTTTATTCCACGAATCAATCTAAATCTTTCGAATCAATCTAAATCTTTCGAAAGGGAACTTGTTACTTAATGATACACATGACCGTTGATTCTGCAACTGACTTGCCGCTACTCTAATTTACAGAGTAAACGCCGGCAAATCGATTCCAGAGTGCAACTGAGGGGGTAACCAAAAGGAGCGTCGTCTCGAGGAGACGTAATTTGGTTTGGCTTTTGATTTGGGATGTGACATAGTGCCTCCTAATTGGAAATAGTGTGGCATGGTACTTTTAAAAGCTACATTAATTTACCTAGGGATCACCGAGATGGGAGGCCGCGAAACCATCGGGTGGTTTTCGAAAACTTGCCAGCGCCGCATGCACCTCCCGGCCTCTCGGCACGGCTACAGCTGCTTCGATTGATTCGATTAATTCATTCGATCATTCAATCTTTCCAGTTTTGTCTACTTGGTACTAGCTAGCTTGTAGAGCTAGAATTTCGTTTGATTCAAGATAATTTCGGTTGATGATCAGCTTTGAAAATCATCCATGATCCGATTTCCTCATTAGTTTCTGGACCCGTGATAACAAGTTGGTTTGCCAGTATCATAGTCAGTCAAACGCACAGGTAGTTGCCATTCGCATATTCAATACGATCAATTCGATTATACCAATGAATTGCCAAGACAACACGTAAGTCAGGATGATGCAACCCTCTTCCCTCTACTAGCTAGTACTCAGTATCCTTTTGTACTATTGCCAAGCCCCAAGAGCCCAAGAGACGACACAGGAACGTTTCTGTGGACAATATCTTGAATTAGAGGTGAAACTGAGACACGTCTGCAGATCAGCAGAAGATGTTGAGCTGTTGAGCTGTTGAGCTCCCGAACATCCTTCAAGTAAGTGATCCCAAAAAAATTTAATAAAGTGTGAGACTGTGGCGTGGGAGAGTCACCATGTTTGGCTTGCGCTCAAGATGTGCTCCTCCTCTAATCAACCCCTTCCGAATTTGCAAATTAATTTCAACTATTACAATGTGTTACTTACCTTGAATACAAGATATAATATTCAATTGCATTGGTAGGGGGCTACCGGTAGCCAGCTACTTGCCAGTTGCTTGCTAGCTAGTGGCTAGTCGAGTCTACTTTCGCCGGTATGGTTTGCAACTTACTTTAGAATACCGGTAGCCATAAGGTTATCTTAAAAACAAGGCTTAAATACTTGGATTTGGAAGCATGGGTGAAGCATGATTTAATTGATTTAACATGCCATACTACTAGTCCACCTTCCATGCAGTCCACCAATGTAGACTACTAGTATTATACTGGTATCTTAAGGCGCAGTTGATAAGCCCTTTGCGGGACAGAGACTGGTGCACTTATCCATTTTCTATGCGACAAACCTTTTCGCGTGAAGCTTTTAGGATCTTGTTTTTTCTGTTCTTCTGTTGACCACTCAGCGAGCACCTTTATCCTTTATCCCCTTGCACTCTGCTTCTTGCTAGCTAGTAGCGAGCCTAGTATCATCAGTAAGCAATTAGTCGACGTAATCCAAGGGTAACACTGCGAATGGCACCGGAACCACTGAGGGGACAACCTTGGTAACAATCTGCATCCACTCCAGCACCATCAGGAGGAAGGGTATCCATCTATCCATCCATTCATCAACACACACCATCCACCATGAGTAGCAGAAGATTGGATCCAACGGACCGCACGGTCGATAGTTTTTCAGATGAACCGCACTTTCCTCCTCCCCCTCGCCTCCCCAGCAGCGGCAAGGCCGGCAGTAGTAGTAGTGCTCGTCGTGTGAGTGCTCGCAGTCGAGAGCTCTTATCGGAAAGTGCCCGATCGTCCATGTGGGAGTCGGCGAGCAGTGAGTTTGGCACCGAAGACGGACGGAGCCGACGCGAGAGTCGTACCCCGGAATTGGCGCAAGAAGAAGCTCGACAAGTCTTCTGGTCCAAAGTCATGGTGGCGCTCGTCTTGATTGGATCGACCAGTTTGTTGGGGTACTTTGCCTACAAGACGGCGGAACAAGATGAAGTTAGAGAATTTGAAAGTCAGGTGAGTTGCTGCAGTTCGAGAAGGAAGGAAGGAAGGAAGGCTTCCGAGTAAGTAGTTCATCTCACACTGCAAGTTCATGCTTGTAAACAACAACAGTTCCACGCCTTGGCCGACGAAATTGTGGCTCAATCCAAGAACAACGCCTACAGTAGCTTTACAGTATTGGAATCCTTTAGCAAGACTGTCACCTCCTTGGCTCTCTTTGCCAATGGAACCTGGCCGTTAGTTTTGCTCCCGCACTTTGAGATTCGGGCCAGTGACTACCTCGACATTTCCGGGGCCCAACAAATTGCCTTTGCTCCCATTGTCCACGACGATTCTCGAGAAAGCTGGGAAGCCTACACGGTTGCCAATCAGGATTGGATTCAAAAAGGATTGGATCTGGAATATGTCCTTCGTCTCTCGGAACGGGAGAATAAAGAGAACAACAATCTTGAGGAAGAAGAAGAGGAAAAGAAGAAAAAGACCATTGCACCTGGAACCAACATGGCTGGCTTTAGTGTCTTGGGGACTGCCAAACCCATTCAAGAGTACATTTGGGAATACGCTCCCTTGACGCACCGGGCCATTGTGGAAACCAGCAAGGGGCCCCATGTGCCGCTCTGGCAATCCTACCCGGCTCCCCGCAATTCCTTTGTCGTCAATTACAACCTACTCAGCAGCCCGGAATTCACAGAATTGCTCAATAGTACCGTCGCCAGTCGCAGAGCCGTCTTGTCCAATGTCATTGACAACTTTGTACTGTTTGGGAATGCCCAAACCATTGACGTCGATCCCAAATCCGTCGTCGTACAGCCCGTCTTTGAATCCTTTGAAGCCAAGTCCGATGTCGTGGGATTCCTCATTGTCGTCATTCCCTGGTTCATTTACTTTAACAATGTCTTGAACAATGGGGCCAGTCCTTTGGTTTGCGTCCTCCGCAACTCGTGTGGAGAAGCCTTTAGCTATCAAGTGGATGGCCCAAAGGCGATGTTCATGGGAGAAGGGGATTGGCACGATCCGGCATTTGATTATTTGCAAGTCAAGACACAATTTGCGGCCTTTTTCCAAGGCGCCAACGACAAGGCGGAACATCACTATGCATTACATCATCAAGTCCAATCGGTCTGCGAGTTTTCGTTGCATGTCTATCCGACGCAGGAAATGGCCAACGCACATGCCTCCTCGACACCCATCTACATTACCCTGGCGGTCATGGGAGTCATGACATTTACGTCCCTCGTGTTTCTCTTGTACGACTTTTTGGTTTCCAAGCGACAGTTGAAGATTGTGCAGGCGGCAAACAAGACGACTGCCATTGTCGCTAGTTTGTTTCCGCAAGAAGTGCACGACCGCCTGTTTGCATCGGCGGCGTTGGGTGGAAACACGAGGGATGACAGTGTTAGCAGTCACGCGCCCAAGTATCGATTACGGACCTTCTTGTCGGACGAAGAAGAGCAAGCGCACAAGAAGAATCAAAAGCAAAATGGTGCCGGCGGTGGCGCGGAAAAAGATGCACCGATTGCCGATCTCTTCCCCGAGTGCACCGTCATGTTTTGTGATATTGCAGGTACGTACGTGGTGATGGGGTTCAATTATAAGTGTGTATGTGTGATGGAATAACTATGCGTGGGAAGAATTTCTCATATGCTCTGTACGGTTGTCTCGCTTCCGTGTCCAGGATTTACGGCTTGGTAAGTCACAAAGGATTTTGCATCCTGAGGTATAGAAAAGAGAGGCTCACTATTTAGCCGGTTTTGTTTGCTTGTTATTTGCTGTCCTATTGTTCAGGTCTTCTGTGCGAGAGCCTTCTCAGGTAAGACGAGACTTCTGTTACCTGGTTTCAATGAGTTGCGCTTGTGAACAGTCAAGGAGGTTGTGAGGGCGCGGTCTAACTTACTCTCGATTCGTTGTCCCTGCACACAAAGGTTTTCATCCTTTTGGAAAACGTTTACTCCGCGTTTGATGAGATTGCCAGCAGGAGAAAGGTCTTTAAGGGTTAGTTGAACACCCGGAAAGGAAACTAGTGTAAGATAGTTTTGGAAGGGAAACCATTGTGTTGCGTATCACTCGTTGCTAACCCTCTTTTGTTTTTTTGGTTTCTCAGGTGTATGACGACGTTTTCTCACTATCAGTGTGCACTGCCCGATCAGTCGAAACAATCGGGGATAGCTACCTTGCGGTACGACCTTTTCGATCCGTCTTGCTAGCACTGCCCGTCTGCCGGGTCTAACGTACTGGTCACTCTTTCCCTTCTCTCAGGTTGCTGGTCTACCAAGTAAGCACCATGCATTTGAAAATATCATTTTGCAAATGCCTACTCTGCTGCTCTGGACTAACACAGTGCTTTACCCCTTGTGCAGCCCCACGACGAGATCACGCCCAGGTAAATGCAGGGAATTGTGCGTCCCTCTCAGAATGACGACAGCAAGCTGCTCACCGATATATTTTTTCCAGGCGATGGTGAAGTTCGCACATGATTGTCTTACGAGGATGAAGAGCCTAGCAAAGAGCTTGGAGTTGGAGCTTGGTATGTGAACCAGGTCGTATCTTGTTTGTCGCCTACTGCACCATCTAACCCTCGACACTTTTCCACCAGGCCCCGGAACTGCAGAACTCACGGTAAGTTCATTGGGATGCCTGGAAATCACTCATGATGAGATAGCTCACAGCAGCATATGAACATAGATGAGATTTGGCTTGCACAGGTAAGACTACATAAATATGTGCATTGGTTTAGAAGGAAAGAGGAGCGTTCAATACACAGGCGCTCACTGCACCACTCCTTGCTGCTTTTGTACAGTGGCCCCGTGACAGCTGGTGTGCTTCGTGGCGAGAAGACCAGGTTCCAGCTCTTTGGTAAGAATCTTGCAAAGCCTTCGGATCCACCATTCCAGCATATCAAGAGGGTTTTCTCACTGTCACATTATAAAATTCTTTGTACCCCTAGGTGACACAGGTACGGTACTGTATCCGGACCAGGCGAATGCTTCTTGCTGCCGCCATTGCGTTCCAGAGAAGCAATGCGTTCTCGCTCTGGCTTACATGGTTTCATTTTTGGTGATTGTGCAGTCAACACGGCAAGTCGTATGGAGAGTACAGGGGAAAGGTCAGTTCATTCAGCCGGGTTCGCACAATCGGGGTGGCGTCCTTCTGTTGCAAGCTCTCACGTGGTCATCGTTGCTGCTCCCACCCCTCAGAGATTTGATTCAAGTGTCAGAAGAAACGGCTAATTTGCTCAAGGCTGGAGGAAAAGATAAATGGCTGAAACCGCGGGAAACAAAAGTTGTCGCCAAGGGTGAGTAAGGAAAAGAACATGCATCAATGAAGCGCCCTCTTGTGTCTCACAAGCTCCAAACCATGTGTGATGGGTTAGGCAAGGGCGAGCTTCAAACATACTGGGCAAATCCTCGTTCGTCGTCGTCGGAGTCCATGTCTTCCCATTCGAATTCACACTTCGAAGAAGACGATCGATTTGACTTCAGTCTGAGACAGGTTGTTAGTACGCGACAACTTCACGGCTCCATTGCTTTCAAGAGGGAGCTAGATCCTAGCCGCAAGCGAATTGTACACTGGATTGCTGAGATTATGCTGAAACTCTTGAAGCAAATTGTGGCTCGTCGAGTAGCCGGTGGTGGAACCATGATCAAGAACAATGACGATGTTTTCTCATCGCAGTTTGTCGTCAACGGTAATCCTATTGACGAGGTCATTGATATCATCACGCTTCCCAAGTTTGACCGCAAGATTGCAAAGAAACAAGCCAACTTTGCTTCGGTACAACTTCCAGAAGTCATTCTTGACCAGCTCCACAGTTTCATTGCTGAGGTAGCCCTCCTGTACAGAAACAACCCTTTCCACAACTGTACGTGTTTGCGAAACATGGCTTCGTTGTTTTGCTGCTCGCAAACCTCATTTTTCTTCCTTTTGCCCTCATCAGTCGATCACGCTGGACATGTAACCATGTCAGTGAACAAGCTTCTCTGCCGTATCATTGCTCCAGATGTCGATCCCTCAGATCAGGAAAACAAGAAGGGTTACGAGTCGATCAGGTTTGTTGCCTACGACCGCGTGGTTTGATCCTGCATGGACTTTGACGGATTGCTGACTCTTTGTTGTTGCTGTTGCTGCTCTCCCATGTGATCAACGAATGCCAGGCATGGTACGCACTTGCTTCAACCGTGGGTGTCATGACATCTGCTAACGTCGAGGGCTCACCATTTCAATTCTCCTCTCGCTTCTGTTCCTTCCTGCTTGATACCCCCACCATCAAACGTTTGCAGATCATACGTATGGTATGTAGGGAGATGACAGCATGCCGTGACGTTTTCCATCCGGGGTCACTCAACCAATGACATTTTCTTGTTTCGTGAAATGCCAGGCATCACTTCGGCCCCTCTTACGCAATTTGCAGTGGTGTTTTCAGCTCTTATTCATGATGCGTAAGTAATTCTGGGCACGTCCATGTTGTGGAAGTCCGTGCTAACGTCTGAGTTTTTGTAACCATTTCCACAGCGACCATCCTGGATTTCCCAATATGGTCCTTGTCAATGAAAAGAACCCTCTCGCCAAAAAGTATCAAAACAGAAGCGTTGCAGAGCAGGTAAGATGGGGTTTCCATATCTTTGTTTGGGTTATTGGGACCTGGAGCTCATCGAATGTGCTCCAATGTGTAGAATTCCTTTGATTTGTGTTGGGCAATTCTGAAGAAAGACAAGTATGCCAGCCTCCGTGGTTGCATCTATACAACAGAGGAAGAGATGAAACGCTTTAGACAGGTATGTAGCTGATGCGAGCGTAAGGAGCGTCAATTATTGATTCCTGCCGGATATCTCACTCTTGCTGTTGCCTGCCTTGCTCTTTCTCAGCTCGTTATCAACACTATCATCGCCACCGACATTTCGGATAAGACTCTCAGTGCACAACGAAAGGCTCGGTGGAATCTTGCCTTCGCGGGTGAATGTGATCGGCAGAAGTTCGAGGACTGCTCCGAAGGATTGTGTGATGAGTCTGCTCTTGTCTCCGTCAACAGAAAGGCCACAATTGTGGTGAGTTGCTACCGGTAATTGTGGACCTTGCCTCAATCGTGGCGTTTTCTTTTTTCTCTAATGAACTGCTTCTTCGTTCTCTCCAAAGATCGAACATCTAATTCAAGCCTCTGATGTTGCCCATACAGTAAGTCTCAGAATTCTGTAAATATTGTTGCTCTGAGAAATGAACTCATCGCAGAATCCAATCTGTTGTACAGATGCAGCATTGGCACATTTACCAGAAATGGAATGAGGTACGACTTGTCTTGCGGTCTCCCCTCGCCCTGGTTCATGCATCCTAACACGGGATTTATTTTGTTATGCGCATTTTGTCTGCAGAAACTCTTCAAGGAGATGTACGAAGCTTACCAAGATGGCAAGCTGGAGAAGGACCCTTCCCTGGGCTGGTATGAAGGGGAGATTGGTGAGTTCTGGCCAGCCGGTGTCCCTCGTTCTGTACATGTGTGGCTTGTCGTTGCCGTTGTGTAGCCGGTATCGGACTCACCTCTTGCTATTTTGTAGGATTCTTTGACTTCTACATCATCCCTCTCGCGAAGAAGCTTAAGGAATGCGGAGTCTTTGGTGTGTCCAGTGCAGAGTACTTGCAGTATGCTCTTGCGAACAGGAGGGAGTGGGAGATGAGAGGGCGCGACGTCGTGAGAGAATTCGTCGCCAAACACACCATTTCGAGCATCGAAGAAGCATTGGAATAGAAGACTGTAGGGCCAGGGTGTCGATGTCGTCGCTAGCAAACTACCACCTCCCCACCGGCCAGGGATTGTCCAACGGGTTGGAGTCACGAGCTAGGAGACATTCATGATGAAGACAAAGACAGTTCATATGATAATTCATGTTTTATTGCATAACCCGTGCCCATTTGAACCGAACCGGCCCAGAACGATTGCATGTTCCGTGGCTCCTCCTACTGCTGGCTAGCTAGCTAGAGTGTGCCTCCTTTTCCACTGGATGCATTGATCCGTGGCGAAGGATTCAATGGACACACTTTTAGTTAGCTACTCTATTTGGATGAAGCGATTACTCTGTCAGCGTGGCTACCCCCAACAATACGGTCCAGGCTGCCAACCCATACCGGTATTACCTGCCTTCGAAGCTAGTCTGGCTAGCAAGCTAAAACCTCGATTATTAATCTTCTTGTGCCAAGCTTTTGCAGCAGCACCTGGTTGGCCTCTGGCATTTAACTCGACACGTGACGGTCACAGTTACCGAAATTTTCGATCTATTGTTCCTGTTTTTAGACCGAAAAGTCAGTTCTTCGCTTCTTTTGGTGCTTGCCTCTCGTTGGGAGCCGAGAGATCTTGGACCTCACAATCTCAAATCAGGAGGAAAGAAAACAAATCGTATTTCTCGAATCCTCGCATCCCATTACTCGCCGTTCACCATGATGAAATCATCCTCCTCGTCCCTCGGAACCTCTTCCTGCCGTTTTGCCCGCACTCTGCAGGGCTTCCGCGGAGATCTTGATGATACCACGGAACATGAGGTCGATGGCTACGACCAAGAGGCGCTGGACCATTTCTGGAAGCACTTGACTTCCGTCGATGTCGATGATTACGCCGAATATCTTCATAAAGTCTCGCAGCAGCAACCAAGCCGCGATGAGAGTGTCCGCTCTCTCTTGTCGCAGTACTGGTGGGACTCTCGAAAGGGCCTTTCGACATCAGTTCAGTCGCTCTTGTCGTCCATGGGTGAATTTGTTGGCTCGGAACACGATGATGAAGACATGATGGCACCTCTTGCAATGGAGGAAGCGCGTGATGCCGCCATTGATGCCATCTTTGATCGCCTCGATTTGGACGGAGACGGATTGTTGGATCGTCAAGATCTGCAAGCCTTGCTCATGGATGCCGCCACCAAAATTAACCTCACGATCGAACCAGCCGTCATTGATGCGGCCATTGATGCTCTTATTGAAGACGCTGGGAGCGACGAAGCCATGTTCTCGATGGAAGAAAGCTATACCATCGGTGACTACAACTCGCGTCGTGGGAACAGCAGTCTAGCGTGCTTGGATCCTCTCGACTCGATCAACAAGGCCCAGTTTAGCAACATTTTCAAGCGACATCCTGACATGCTCACCGTGTTCCAAGATCCAGCTGATCAGCAGCACGGTGCTGCTTTGTCCGACAAAAAAGCACTTCGTCCATTGGGCGATACTGACTTGAAAACGGAACACGAGGAGAACGAACAAGTTTGGCAAACTCGCTGGAAGAACTGGAACGTCAACATGTTTTGGCTTGCCTTGTACGTTGCTGCTAACGCCATTGCCTTTACCACCAAGGCTGTCAAGTATGCCAATCATGATGAAGCGCAGGCTGGTACGTGAAGTCACGACTCGACTCTGTGATTTGCTCTCGTCGTGTAGTTGCCAACTCGAACTTTCTTTCTGTTTCCAACTTCCTCCGCTGATCCCAGTCTTTGGACAGTGCATTGTGGCAGCTCGTGGTGCTGCCCAGTGCTTGAACCTAAACTGTGCTCTTATCTTGCTGCCCATGTGTCGCCATTTCTTGACCCGTCTTCGAGGGACCAGCGCCCGCTTCTACTTCCCCTTTGATTCCGCTTTGGATGTTCACAAGCTCCTCGGTGCCGCCATTCTCTGGTGGACTTTGGTCCATGTGGGTGCCCATTTATGCGACTTTCATCGGTTGGCTCATGCCGACGAGGATGCCCTCTTTGAATTGGTGGGGGACAAGTTGGGGGACCACATTCCATCGAGTCCAGCGGGACGCTGGAATCTGGCTCTCTTTCACACTCGAGCTGGTGTCACGGGGATCATCATGGTACTGTGCATGATTATTGCCTACCCGTTGATCCATTTCCGACGACAGCACTTCAACGCCTTTTGGACCTCGCATCACTTGCTTCTCGTCATGCTGATTGCTTTGTGCATTCATGGAACGGGAGGTCTCCTCGAAAACTACCAGTCTGTCTTTTGGCTCATGATCCCGCTTGCACTGTACTTCACTCCACGCTTTGTTCGAGAGACTCCTTTGAGTAGAACGGGCGTGATTTCCGCGAAGATTAAGAATGGCGATGTGCTCTGTCTCAGGCTTGGCAAGCCAAGACACTGGGACTCTGTCTTGCAATCTGGAATGTACGCTTTTATCCACGTCCCTGCCATCTCTCAGTTTGAATGGCACCCCTTTACTCTTACGAGCAGCAGCAACGATCCGTTTATCGAGTTTCACATTCGCAGTGCTGGTGACTGGACGGGAAAGCTCCATGAGTACATCAAGAGTCTAAACTCTCGGAGCGGAAACAATGGGACTGCATGTGAGTTGGGAGCGTCGTGCTCTGCCTCTCACAGCATGTCATTTTCGGACGAAAGCACCACGACAAGGATTGAAGACAGCTTGCACGCTCAGCAGTCTGATGAGGAATGTGCCACCAATTGGGTGAGCGATGAGGAGGGGCAACTCATGGCCAGCAAGAAACACACTCATCGTAGTGTTCGTCAATCGCGGGCCATCCGCGATATCGTCGTCAAGGTTGAAGGTCCAATTGGGGCATCATCGCAGGGCTTCAAGGATTTTCCCATCATCGTTTTGGTCGGAGCAGGCATTGGTGTGACACCATTGATTTCTGTCTTGAAAGATCTGCTTCACAACCCTGGAAATATGCAGCGTGTCTTCTTCTACTGGACGGTTCGCGACAGGGCGGCCTTTGAGTGGTTCTCAGGCATCATGGATAAGGTGTACAAGTCTGACCAGAAGCATGTGTTGCAGGTGCGACACTTTTTGACCTCTGTCAAGGATGACAATCGTGATGTTGGGGCAGTCTTGCTGCACCATGCGACAAGAGCCAAGCACCAGACGGATGGCTTTGACTTGCTTCTTGGGCAACAGACGCACCATCAGGTTGAGGTTGGCAGGCCCACGTGGAAAGATGAATTACAGAGTGTCAAACGAGAAGCCAAGGCACTTGGCCATAACTCTTGTGGCATCTTCCTTTGCGGACCTGAGCGCATGGCACAGTCCATTGCAGATGTCAGCCGATCTCTCTCAAGAAAGGACCCCGATTTCCACTACTATTTCAACAAGGAGACATTCTAAGAAGATGGCTGCCTTCCAATGGAGAAGGCGACTATGTTGTAGCGCCTTTTCAAAATAGACGTCCAGTTCTTTTGTTCCTTTCTGAGCTAGAACTTTCGTGTCTGATGTTGCGAGTGTCGTTATTGTTGGTGGTACTATCTATTGTTGGTACTATCTAGCAAACGAAACCATCGTCCCGGGAGAGGGCTCACTTTAGAGCAGCAGGGTTGTTATTGTTTCAGCTTCCAACTCGACTGTTTTGACCAGGAGCAAGGAAAGAGCAGCAACCATGTTTTCGTTACCTTTTCCACGTTTGGTTTTCGGTACTCAAACTCGCTAGCAAAGCAGCCTTTATTGAAGCACTTGTCTCATCGTAGCAAACAGTTCATACTTCTCAGGTGCCACCACAACTTCGAAACTATAAGTACTGACTGGAATGGAATTTTCTCTTCCCTCGGCTACCCATGTCTTGTACCTAGCCAGAGTATTAATAGCAAAGATGGTGTATAAAGCTATCAAGCGTTTCCACAACGACGAAAGCGTGATGGGGTCGGCATCCTCCATGCCTAACTCCCATTGTGTTGATGCACGATTCCGCGTGTTCTTCTGCTCTGATATTATGATGATGCCCTGAGCTAAGTACATCATATCATTTGGCCACCTAGAGCAGCTGCTAGAGCTAGCTACTCTAGAGTACTGAATGAACATACGATTTCGGAAAGCTCTGATATCAGGCAATTCTCTAATCATTGAAGTAGAGCATAGTATGGGATCTGTTACTAGAAGTCTATAGAATCAGATGATTCTAAAGAATGGAGAAAAAATCGGTAGAATGGTCTGATTCTATAGAATACTTGAGGAAGGTATATTAGAATTCTATAGAATCAGATCAATCTATAGAATCAAAGTATGTGAGAATCTGTAGAAATCATATTCTATAGAATCACACATCATATTCTATAGAATCACACATCATATTCTATAGAATCAATTAAATTTTCTCTTGATTCTGTAGAATCATCTTCTATTTTTCTGATTCTATGGAATGAAACATGAAAAATCTGTAGAACAGTGTTGTTGCATCTACCGGGGCGCTCACTGTTGCTGCCATTCAATGACTTGACGCATTCAGGCTGGTGATAGGGCTGGAGTCAACAGAGCCGCCTCCATCAATCAACCCTCTTCTCTCCTCTCTTCTTCTTGTTATCAGGAGGATCTCTAATCTCTGTGTGTTGTCGTGTAGCCTCCTCTGCATGGTTGATTGTTGCCATTCAATGACTCGATGACTTTTGATCAGGCTGAAACTACTAGCTAGCTAGGGCTGGACTAAACAGAGCCTCTGTCTTTTGTTATCCGTAGCAATCGAACATCGACAATGGGATTTCCTCGGCCGTCGGCAGTGCAGCAGAGAAAACAACAAATAGATACGAGGTTTGCTTTCTGTGCTGAACAGCAGAAAACCGGAGACTTACCCTTGTTCTCCAACTTGACTGTCATGGGCCGAGAAAAGAAAACCTTCCCGAGCTGATATGATTTCAATGAGGATGGCCTACCAATCTGCACCGGAGACACTCCGATTGGCTGAGGGGCAGGCTTGAAGTAGACTATGCATAGAGATGCAATCAATCGACTGAGGACTCGAATAATTAAAGAACAACTCGAATGATTCAATCACCTGTTGACAGTCAAGATTTGACTGTGGAAGAGGTGCTGTGACGTTTCTGTGCCCTTCCCATTCTATAGAATGAAAACGGCTGATTCTATAGAATGGTATGAGATTCTATAGAATGGTATATTCCACAGACTTCTCGCATCAGATCTTTGCCCCTGCGGTGATTTTCCCCCACCCGACGCTCCTCCTGATGCTGGAGTCATTCGATAGATTTTTCCTGTTCGCAGATTCCCAGCCACGAGTGCGTGCTTCCAACCAAGATAACCAACGACACTTGCGTTCTCCACCGATTGGGCCTCGTTATTGAATAGACATTGGAATGCTTCCTGACTAAAACCCCCCACCAAATTGTCAGCTACGCGAATGCGATTGTCCGAAACGAAGCTGTTGTAGATCCAAGTCTTGAAATTAGCGGCAGAAGCCGCAGCAGAGGCGGCCAGACCTGGTGGAGCACCTGCAACCCCCAGCGCTGCATGAATTTCGGCGTCAGTAGTATACTCTACAAAATAAGCAGGATCGTCCGCACTCAAAAATTTGATCTTTGGAATCACATGACTAAGATGAGGAGGATGCGACGTATACACATCAAAAATCTCTGATGTAGGCCGCCATTTGCACCGTGGTTCTTCGTATTCTCGGTCTCCCTTGAGGTCCGAAGGAGAAGCCTTCTTCGTAATTTTCTTAGGCCGGTCTCTACCGGAGCGACTAAAGTAGCGACTAAAGGAATCCTTTCTAAGGTGGTTGTTTAGTTCAAGATTTAGTCATTATCCTTTAGTAATGGTGGTGTCTACCAGCAGATGACTAAATCTCGGACTAACCAATTTAGTCAGTTCTTTAGTCATTTGGACCTGTCTACCCAGCACTAAACAAATGACTAAACGGAACACTAGTGGACATAAAGGACTCAAACAAGATTTAACAAAAGTGATCACTTGGTGGGCTACCAATATTCTATCAGCATGGTGGATTTAAAGGACTCAAACAAAGACTTCACAGAAGTGATTACTTTTTTGAGATAACAAGACTCAAAACACACCATTGCGATGCACCTCTCCTCTGTCTCATTTGCACCTCTACTATCATTCAATCGTTCGATCGTTTGCACCTCTACTATCATTCATTCGATCGTTTGCACCTCTACTATTAATAATACTAGTATCATTCAATTGTTTGATCGATCGTTTGCACCTCTACTATCATTCATTCATTCGATCGATCGATCGTCCTCGAATCGATCGATCGTGTTGCCTCTACTATCATTCATGTCGATCGTTTGCACCTCTACTATTCAATAATACTAGTATCATTCAATTGTTTGATCGATCGTTTGCACCATACTATCTTCAATCTTAGTCAGTTTGCACCTATCTGATCGATTCAGTATCGTTATCGATCGATCGTTGCACCTCTACTGATCATTCAATGTTCGAGATCGTTTACCTCTGACTAACTTATACTAGTTTCATTTCATTTTTGTCGATCGTTTGCACATCTATCTATCATTCATTCATTCCGAATCGAAGTCGATTCGATCGATGTATGCCTTCTGAACATCATGTCATCGTGCACCGTTCTACCTCTTTACTGTTGAGTCAACTCACTATCATTGTTGATCAGTATCGTATTGTGACACTACTATCCTTTCATTTCATTCGATCGATCGATCGACGATGATCGTTTGCACTCTAGTATAATTCATCTTCGATCGTTTGCACCTCTACTATTATTTGAAATATAATAGTATATTCAAATTGTATATGATCGATCGTTTGCACCATCTACATATCATTATTCATTCGATCGATCGATTTGATCGATCGTTTGCACCTTACTATCATTCATTTCGATCAGTTTGCACTCTACTATTAAATAATACTATTATCATTCAATTGTTTGATCGAATCGTTTGCACCTCTATATCTATCTATATCCACATACGATCGATCGATTCGAGTCTGTTTTCACATCTACTATATTCATTCATTGACGATTGTTTGCACCTCTACTTATTACTAGTATCATTCAATTTTTCGATCGTTTGCACCTCTTCTCTATTGGCACTGCTTCGATGGCCTAATAGTGAGTCTAGGAGTGTGGAATTTGTTATCAAACTCAGTGGCATGCAGTTGTGTTGTTTCCTATTGGATTTGCTGTTCTTAAAGAGGCTTTAGTCCGTACATTCACTCACCGACTAACCAGCCTCCCTTTAGTCCGTGAACCAACATTTCGACTAAAGGCTTTAGTCTGTATGACGTTTAGTTGCTTGGGTAGACACCACCCCAAGAGACTAAACTATGGACTAAACTACAAAATATGGCTTAGTCGCTACTTTAGTCGCTCTGGTAGAGACCGGTCTTAGGATCACCATCATGGTGATCACTCCGTGGTGCTGTGGGTGAGTGAGAAAGCGTTTCCTTCGCTAAGACGTTCACATATCAGATTCGATTTCAGTTAGAAGGTACATGTACTGTACCACCGCAAAGTTCAGGGGTCCCTTCAATTTTATTATTAATTAATTTGCTCTTCTTTCTTGGTTTTTGGTCTTACCCCCTCCCCCAGCTCGTCTCCCAGTCTCTGTGGACTGTGTTTATCTGGTTCCATTCAGCTTCGCATGTCTGGATTGCCAAACGTGATGGCTTAATATGAGTGCACGGCGATGGCTATCTCCGGCACCCAATGAAATCCCAATGCACCTTGGTTCTATTGGTGTGAATGCTTTGGTTCTCTAAGTGTCAGTCGGAACCACCATTCCATCTGTTCGCTCTACTTATCCCTGCCGGGTCATCTTTACCTTGCTCCCCTTCTCCCCCCAGCTCTTGCGTGGTGATCTTTCCATTTGCGGCTTGTTCGAACGTGGTACTCCTGCTATTATTGATGTACGTGTCACAGATTTAGACTGTGCCTCTTACCGAAACAAAGATTCAATCAAAGTTTTAACCCAACGAGAACGCGACAAAATTTCAAAATATAAAGATGCGTGCGAGTCCGATCGCGCTTCCTTCCATCCTTTTGTTGTTTCTGTGGATCATGGCATGCTTGCCCCCCAAACCAAGATTCTTTTACAACTTGCTTCATTGCTAGTGCTCCAACTCAATTTTCTACTTTTCAAATGACGTTTATGACAGACCGATCTCCCGTTTACTTGTGAAAGTATCATTTATGTCTTGTGGTCCCAAAGCTAACCCTTTGTGACAAACGTACTAGTTTTAGGTGGGTTATGAGCTGCCGAAAATTTACATCTTTTCTGTTTCTCAGAAAACCAGTCGACCATGCGCTCCTGACGCCGTTTTGGGGGAACTGCACAGGAAAGAAGATCGCAGTTGTATATTAGGTAGTGATGTTATCATGC